AGCAAGCGCGAAAATCTATCCAGCGTTTGACGACATCCGAAGTTGACGTGGACGCATACCTCGCTCATATAGAAGAGACTCTCCGCTTAGAAGAGAGCTCCAGGACTAAGGCCAGCATTCTCGACTGCTTTCGCGGTACAAATCTACGGCGCACTATTATCTCCTGTCAGGCTTTCAATATTCAAGCCCTCTGTGGTAATATCTTGTTCATAAATTATGCCGTTTACTTTTTCGAGAATGCTGGTCTAGATACGTCGGATGCTTTCTCAATGAATGTGGGGCTGACATGCATGGGCTTCGTTGGGACACTAGCCTCCTATGTTCTCATCTCATACGCCGGTCGGCGCACCATCTACCTGTGGGGCTCTACCGTAATCGCCTTGCTCCTACTTCTCGTCGGGATTCTGGCCGTTGTGCCCCAGCACAATTCGGGACCTGTGTGGGCCATGTCCGCCCTAATGGTGATATGCAACCTCGTCTACGACATGTCGGTGGGACCACTGTGCTTCACCGTTATGTCCGAGGTGTCTGCCGTTAATTTGAGAGGTGTCACTATAGCCCTGTCCAATGTCACTGTGGTGATATGGTCTGTCATATTTGCTGTCGCCATTCCCTATGCAATGGACACTACGGGTGCCAACTGGGGCGGCAAGCTGGGATTCCTATTCGCTGGAATCGGAGTCTTGGATACACTCTGGTGCTACTTCTTCCTGCCGGAGACTAAAGGTCGAACATTTGAGGAGCTGGATTTCATGTTCCAGCAGAAGCTACCCACGCGTCAGTTTAGCAAGTACCAGTTTACAGAGACACAGCAAGTAGCACCAGAGGCTTAGCTTGTTGTCACAATAGAAACTAAGAACATACAATCAGAAGGCAAGCCTCTGAGATATGTGAATATTAGGTTCTAGTGAGCAGTTGGAAAGGCTATTTTACGTTTGACTCAATGGTTAACTGGGCCACCTTTAGTGAAGTACTTATAGTTGAGTTAATTATTCTAGCTTTTTCTTAATGACCTTGGTCTAGTTTCTTCCTCGAACTCATCGACTTCAGATAAAGAAGCAGCAGCTATCTTGATCTAAGTGCTACACAAGCTCCCCGTATGCCGCGCGGTTAGAAACGAGCTTCATTTTCCTGTTCCTTTTTGAGGTTTCCACTTCATCCAACGGTGTGGCATATCGTGTAGAGAATGAGAGCTCGGCACAGCTAGAGCACGGGAGCTTGGCTGTCCGTCAACAGTCAGGATGTGAAATAGGACTACCACTGACCATCAGCCAAGTCTAGATATAAGGAAGAATAAACGCCTACTGCTTGCTGTTCGCTACGCGGCTAGCTGACGCCCCTACTACATAAGAAAGAAACAGGAGAGTGAACATTAAAAGGGTATTGGTTGCAGATGACCAATCGTCTAGACATACTGAACTTGCTTGATAAGGACTGTTTATGTGGAATTCAGTGTGACCTTAGTAATCGCCTATCTGTATGCGTTAGACCCCCTTGGTCTGTCGATGAGCAAGCTGCTTCTTTCATTGACAAGGAAGGTGGGTGATTACTATAGTAACTGTTGTCTTGGCAGCTTTTTGGAGTGTTAATTTAGTTCTTTGCTTATGTGGCGCTAAGATTATTGCTCCTTCAACAAGCGGGTCCCATAGCTCAGTTGGTTAGAGCGTGACGCTAATAACGTCAAAGTCGAGGGTTCGAGCCCCTCTGGGACCATCTTTTTGTATACAAGTTTTTTTTCCTCTTTCTCCCTCACCCCTCTAACCAACTAACATTTTCAAGCTATGCTTTTCTGGACCATGTTTGTGGTCAGGTTGCAGCATCGTATGACAACTCATATTACCATCTCATGCACGACCTGCCGGTCCAATATGGGGATTACAGAAAAGTCCATACCCAAGTCCCATTAATCTATCCATACATTGACAAGGAATTAGATACTCTTGGAAAACTCTCCTGGTATTCCCGTGATGACAAGGGTTAATTATATATATGTATATATATCCCTTGATGGTGCGTAGAGATCGAATAGTGTCGATCGCGGGTATAACGTGTAAATACCGCCGACTAGATATGGACTTACCTAGACAGACAACACACTGCTAGTATGACTCGGCTTCGCATTACGCACGTACGCCAGAAAGGTCAAGTGAATTTTAATTTTTGATTGGATCCAACGAGCATGACAATTGATAGAGTAAGATGAATAGAGAAAGAGGTAGGTAAAAAAGCAAAAAAGATGGTCCCAGAGGGGCTCGAACCCTCGACTTTGACGTTATTAGCGTCACGCTCTAACCAACTGAGCTATGGGACCCGCTTGTTGAAAAGGTTGTTTTAAATCGGCTATATAATCCAAAGCCAAAGTGGGTCACTGTTTCTTGGTGCTTCGATGGTCTCAATAGCACGTCCAAGTTGTATACAAAGTAGTACGCTGACTCTAACATCTTGCTTCTAGAGGATTGTGATTATGGAGCTCTTTTACCATATATTTTGGATTGTAGTACTTGTACTGTGGTTTATTGATTTCCTAGCATGTAAGTACTATTTCTAGTACTGGTCCGTAGAGAATCTTGGTCTAAGCGAACGGCTGGGGCACCCTGAAAGAATATATATGTATTCCAATCCGCCAATTTCAATCCGAACGTCGTCTGTACTTCCGGTCTCGCTAGTAATACTAGTACATAGTGTTAGTAGCACTACTTGCAAGCATGATGCCACTAATACCACTGTTCATTATTATATTATGGAATATGAACCACTACCTCGTACTAGTACTAGTGGTAGTGTGAGTAGAACCCTATCCTAGTGTTCCCTTTGGGACACTGAGAAGGGCTCCATGTTTAGTGACCACTTTAGCCGATTCAATGCTAAGTTGCAATACAGATATTGAGATGGCATTAGTGTTACGCTTCTCCAGCAGTTACTTGAGGTTCTTTACACGGCACTCGGCCCACGCGCGCCAGAAAATAGGTGCATCTTGGGAAGGGGGCAACCAGCATCCATCATGAGGGCTCCGGCGTCAACGTACTTACTCGTGATGAGATAAATTACTTTGAAGACTTCATGGCTGGTACTGACGGTGTGCATAGTATCGCGCGCTCAGAGATGGTGAAAGTGCCTAGAACAAGGAGTCTGACATGTTTACTCTAGTCGGCAGTCTGACTGAAGTCTAAAACTGACGTTACTTCTCTTGTTATCGATATTTTGAGTTATCCAGTCGATTACCGTATACACGTTGGACTGTCCCTTCAAATTCCCACCATCACCCCGGGTGAGCAAATTGTCCGTTGCTACGATGTCTTCGCCGTTTTTGCGCTTTGTTGAAAGAATGGGGCCGTGGGCTAATTCATCACCGAGAAATTGGACCGTAGGTTTCAATACCCCAAAGGACCTGACCATACCCAAAATAATGCCTTTAAAGTTCTGCGAGAGTCTGGTAGATGTGGCGATAAGAGTCATCACTCTCATGATTTAAGCTTGCTTGAGAGACTTCTCGCAGAAGATATTAGGCGTTTGAGAATCAATAGTAAATAGCGACATGACATGGACATTTTCCAGCGCGTTTAACTCGAAATAATGACGGAGGTCTCGTGAAATGTGAAATCTCGGGTTTCTCTTTAGTGATGTAGACTAGTTGGACAAGATTTTCCTGGTAGGTAGTACTGTGCTATGTATAAAGACAGGACCCCTGCGGTAGGATGGCCTGCACAGAGCAGACAACTTTTATAGAAGGAGAGCTGTCATTTGGGCTCTAGTCTACGCTAAGTATTTTGCATCATAAAATTTTGGGGGCGCAGGGTGAATTTGAAAAGGCTTTCTTACAACCTGTGGCACGATGAGATGAATGGGCTCAGATTAATGGCGGTGTCTTACATTAATAATGAAACGCTAGCCCTATCTCCAGGGAATGATGAGATCCAACAATACCATCAGACCCTCCATCCTAATTACATTCCCGGAAGCCCTTTTAATAGGTACGTAGTAGCAATGTAATGGGTATAGCCTGTCGAAAACGGTTTCGCCAAGATGAAAGCTGAAGATTTCAACACATGCATGGTTACTTGCCAAAAGGGACTCTATCCAGCAGCAAACAACTCTTTCAATGGACTGAAAAAGAAGAAGCATTACTAGGGGGTATGACACAAAGACTTGCAATTTGTTGCTGACTCCATGGAGTACATCAAGCCACTGACTCAGTGACTTGTAAAGCTCACCGAGGAGTAACATTCCGCAACGTGACCAACCCATTCCAATTGCTCCGCAAATGGTTGCTAGCCAAAAGTCAAATACGAGACATACATGAAAACGACTAATCAGAGCTGTGACAGCTCAAAGCCACCGTCGATGAAATGCCATTACAGATGTCATGTCTCAAGTGAACCACGGGACAAGGGGCTGCCAGAACCCAGTGAATGGCATGCCCCGAGTGCGCAGTGCGGATACCACCCCCTTTCTGGTGCATTACCAAGACAGACAGTGATAAGTGTGGAAGCACATCCATGTAAAGCCTGTCGCTCTATTTACTATGGATAAGGGAGCCCCAGGTCATATATTTACCAATCAGCCTAAGAGAACCCGTGGTGACATCAACTCAAGGCCACCGACTTTGCCCATTCAGGCCCTATACGCATAAGACTTCGATACGAGTCATAGCCTCTAAGGTTACATGCGTAGCCTTCACAACCGTGGCAGAATAGTGCTTGAAAAGTCCGCGGCGGTTCCAAAACCTTGATTATTTTCTATTGGTATTCGACTACCGAATCATGAATTCCTTCATGCTACCGAAGTCGTAGGTTAGGACCTAGAATGTATAGTATCTAGCTCATATCGCGGATAATGTCATAGCAGAGGAGCATCTTATCTATGTCAATACTAGGTAAATGACTTTCGATATGTCATTAAAGAGCGCCAGTGGGCAAAATTAAGCCTATTACACATGGCTTGAAACCAAAGCGTCACATTATTCGAGTGAAATTCCATGTTTGGCCTGTGCCAATTTTGACTTAATCATCCTTCACACTCAACTTTTCCAACAAGAGTCGCAGCATTGGATTTGCCTCGTTGGTGATCTTCTCAATCCGGTCAATCTCACAAATGATCGATCCCTCCAATTGCAGCAGGTATTCCCGACAATGCTGGAATGTTCCAGAGGTGTCAAGGTACTCAACAATGTGTTGCTTTATCTCTAGGGCCAGTGGCTGCATTCCACTGGTCGTAATTGCAGTAGGCCGCTGTCGGAAGACACCGTCAATGAGGTCTCTAAACCGCGCGTGGTTCGCAGCACAGTGGACAATCGGGTACGAAAATTTTCCCTCGTCGAGGTCTTCACAGAACCCTTTTTGCTCGACGTATAGACCGGAGCGAAGATTCATGTAATCATCACGGATCTGAAAGAATCGCCCAAACAGGATGGTGAGTCCGTTCATATTAACCTCGTTGTTGGATGTACTTCTCCCTTCGGCCTGCATGAGTCTCAAGAGGAGACGAAACAACCCCCCGGTCTTGTTGTCTACCATGTTCAAATACTCTGAGGGGGACGGGCATTTGAGCTTATATTTCCAGCACAAATCCCAACTTTGTCCCAGGTACAGGTTCTCCAATTCCTCGAGCAGGATCTCAACGGCGTTAGGGTTGCGGAACTGACGGGCAACTTGGACGGCTTGGACGAACATAAAATTGGCGCTGTTAATCGCTTGCGAATGGCCGAAGATAGTGTGTGTGGCGGGCTTTCCTCGTCGCTTGGGTGAGTTGTCTTCAATGTCGTCTAGGATCAACGACGCATTATGGAGAACATCGACCAGCTGTCGGATTTTGTTCAGTGATGCCTCGTCTACCTCAAGCCAGTAGTTCAATGCTTCGATCATTTGGGATCGGACCCCCTTTGAAGGCATGGAACAGATATACTGAATTGGTGCTTGGAGGGCTGTGTCGGTGGGTTTGTACCACAGCCCTTCTGCTTCCTGGGTTTCTTGGCTGCAACCCTATATAACGCTTTGTTAGGCCTCATTCTGCTAGAATGTCCAACAACTGAAAGTTTGGAGCATACTTCAATAGATAAAACCCCCTTTGTTGCCTCATCAGATTGGGGTAGCTTAGCTTCTTTGTGGTCTCTGCCACCGAATAAGCTCTCGCAAAGCTTGACTACTCTCGAGAGAAGCGCCAATACAGCTCGCATAAACTGCTCGATATCATGTTTGTCTAATGCCGGTTGGGCATTCAGATTCATGAACTTCTGTGCATTGGGTTTTGGATTAAATCGAGTGGGGATTAGCTTTCCATCTTCAGATAAAGAATTGCTGAAGCTGGGCTTGTTAGGCATGTCTGGTTCAGTGTTGCAACCTCGATGGTCATTGCTTTTGTTCGGATCCTGCACATTTACTGAGTGATTGCGCCACGCATGGTGACGAGGAGCGCAACTGGCCCAGTAGTGAGTCCCAGCCACGGTAATCCCCGCCACCTCAATCCACTTCCTCACGTGAAAGGGGAGTGAGGGATTTTGGGCAAAAACCATGCTTTTTCGTTCAAGATATTGCTGTTCCAAATTGACGAGAAGCTGGCGAACCTTGGCTTTTGCCTCATCGATAGAGATGTTCTCGGTCCGACGAACCACTTCCACCACGTTAGTGAGTCTACTCCCACTGGTTACAGACTCATGATACTCCCGATCGAAGCTCCAGTAATCATTGGTCCAGATGATTGCCTTGTCAATTGGCTCCATAACGGGCTCGATGAGCTTTTTGTCTTCATCTGACAGACGCATGGCCATGCCAAATTCCACCATAGGCCAGAATGCCCTGAGGTAATCAGCGACGGGATTTCTTCCATACTGAACACAAGAAAGGGTGAAGGTGAGTTATACCTGATGCCAAAATCATCCCTTCTGTAGGCTTGGTATTCTTCCAAGGAGTTGAACTGAGGCGCCTTTCCCTCTTTACCCCCTGCAGCGGACAGCCATCCTTTATTATACATGTCAAACATGTACATACCCAAGTCACGGTCAATGCGAATCGCCTCAAGTAAGATTTGCGACACCAGCTTCTTCAACTTGGGAGCACGGGTGCTTCGGCGTGACGACAGTGGCTGGCCATTTGGGTCAAAGAGAGCGCCGAAGTCACGATGTTCTGCCCTGGCTTGATCCATATCCATTGCCTCGTACCCATCTAACTGCCGGGTTAGCTATTAATAAGAACACTGATTTTGTTCATTACCAACCATCGTGGAGCATTCCTAAATCGGTCAAGTAGGTCAAGATTGCTAGTCTCTCGGGAGGCACCTCAGGATAGGCAAATGCCCCCAGATTTCCCAGCTCACTGATGGAAATCAGTGCTTTATCTGCCAGGCCATCATGTAAACAATGGTCCCAGTCCCGAAGAGCTCTTCTGGTGGCTGAATCCGCGACATCAACTTGCTCGTTTATACGTATTGGCAAAGTGGTAAATGATGGCGTCTTCTTGATGGCCTCCGCATCAATGGGTCGGGAATGTTGCCAACAGTCCATGTTGTGTAAAGAGATGTGAGTGTGCTACTCCTAAGTAAAGTGTGAGCTGATGATAGGTATCTCAGCAAATCAATACACAGCACAAGAGTATGGAGCTACCTTTCCGAGCCGCCGGATCTCTGGGTTACACAGAGCTTTTTAAAGTGGACCCATTGATATGGACCCGCGGCATTCCATCTTATTTTGACTTAAGTCGAGAAGAAACTCGCTTCTGAGTAGAGACTCAGTGCGTCATCAATCTAGAACCACTTGTACATTAATTTTGTTTGCTACCTCTTTCCGGACGGGTTGCACATCAGTGTAGTAGCCGCGGAGATTATTCCTGGGAAAGCATAGTATAGTTCGTAGCATGGACGCCAAACTTTCGACATAAGCGTACCCAATAATGTAGTATGGTACTCCTACAATGTAAATAATAGAGATGGACTGGCTTCAGAGTCGTGGCCTTGATGTACTGGTAATCACTGCCTGAACGTCTTATTCTGCTTGGAAATTGACATCAGTGTAGTAGCCGCGGAGATTATCCCTGGGAGAGCAAAGTATATTTCGTAGACTAGACATCAAAGTTCCAACATTAGCGTGCTCAAGGATGTAGTATGGTACTCCTGTGCAATGAAAATGATAGCTACGGACTGACTTCAGCGTTGTGACTTCGATCTACTGGTAATCACCAGCGGAGCGCCTCATCTAGCCTTAAGGGTTGACATCATGACAAGAGCCCTATGATCGTCACCAGAGCCGTTAATGCAACGTGCTGTGATATTTAGAAATAAGCTTGCGACATTCCCACGCTAATGACCGGTCTCATTTCAAGATAATTGCGCGAGGCATACGGGAATACACTCGGAAACCGACAAGACGGCCAGAAAAAATAAATTCGAAACTACATCCCATCCACTTTCTCTCTTCTTCTAAAACATCTATCTGGATAAGAGCGAATCAAATAAAATAAAGATATCAACACACAGCTTCTCTCTTGACTATGTCCGATATCAGTCTTGAACAAGTTGCCATCATGGCATGCTCATTGGTATGAGCCCAACCCCTTTAACGATGCACATTCCGATGATAACGGACCAATGCCTGGTATAGGGCACAGGAGCGTTGATATTGATGATTATCTACAACTACTTTTTCCACCCCTTGGCACGGGTGCCAGGGCCTTTGACTGGAGCGGTTTTCCCGGTAAGTCCAACCTCCTCAAGGCAGCCATCTTACCTGTTCTGAGAAAGAATTGTCCGTTGGTAACTCTTATAGTTCTGGACAATGAGAACCTTGCATCGCCGGAATCTAAACCCAGGTCTGGCACAACTACATGAGAAATATGGTCAGACACACCGTTAATCTTCTCCCCACCTCTCGGGCTCTACGGGCAGCTCTGCTGATGCACTGAGGGGAGTTTTTGGATACAGGCCCTATTGTTCGAGTTGGCCCCAACCAACTGTCATTCACAAGTGTCGAAGCCCAGAAGATTATCTACAATGCCAAGCCGACCGACAACGGCGCCGATGAACCATTTAATAGAAGCGGAACTCTACAGGACGTTATACTCTTACTCTTATTAAAGGCACGCCATATCGGCTCGCTCTCGAGCCGAGCTGAACATAAGAAAATACGGAGACGTCTACTTCCGGGTTTCACATCAAACGCGCTTTTCGAACAGGAATCTCTGCTGCGTCTACATGTGGACAACCTCTTGCATGCACTCGCACAACGTCAAGAACATCAAGGTCCCAATGATTTGACTGAATATTTTTCCAGATTCCTTTGGGATTTTGTGAGTGACCTTTCCTTTGGGGAGCCTCTAATTCAAGAAAAGAAAGGTGAGTTGATACTCTCTTGAACTCCTACTCCTCTTTTTTCTTCTTTCTTGCTTCCTAGTATTTTGTGCCCGGCGCATTCCCCCATCTGAAGCTGCATTTGCTAATTGAGACCCCCACGCAGACACGCTGCAATCGCTGGTTGATCTATACGAAAATTTCTTCCCCCTAATAGAAGCTATCAACTATGCGGTTCCACAAGTTCAAGGATCAATCAGATTGGTTCTCCACCTGATACCGTCACTGACTCTGGGCGCGGTTTTGCCCACAGCCACATTCAGAGAGTATGTACCCAATATTGCCGTACCCCAGTTACTTCATAGTTAGGTTAGGCACCACTAAGCTGTTTACATCTTCTTTCTTTCTAGTTGCATTGACCGACAGGATGGTCGATGTGATTTCATCACGCATATTATGGGCCACAAAAGCCGTGATCCCACTGAATTAAAGCTGAGCTATGAGGAAATGCATAGCAACGCCACTATCCTAACGTGAGTCGCTGCCCCCCCCC